TTCATGTGGATTTCTTCACAAATTGAGACAGTGTGTATCAGTGCCATCTGCTGACTCCAAGCAATATTACTCCACTGTTTGAACAGCTATGGGGAAAAGCATTTGACAATACAGATTTGTACAGGATGCAAAAGCAGGGATTAAATAAAATTATAGAGAAGGTGCATAGATATAATTTTGAAATGGTACAGAAGAAACTATCACACCAGCAAAATGGAAGAAGCCTTCCAACAGGAGATGCTTGGTGTAAATTGTGAATGTTTTACATAATTAATGTGTTTTCACTGATTATCGGGAGATCAACCCACCTGTAAAATGGCACAAGAAACTAACAGAGAAGGATCATGTCAGGTGCCAAGGCATTTGTTTGCTTTCCAAAACACTTAAATATTTATGCCCAGAGGCTCACTAAATCTGGGCTAAAATGCTTTACTTCTCCTAGTATCAGCTCACTAGAAGTAATAATTAAGTACCTTCAGAGGAAACTCAGAACCCAATACCACTAAACTAAGTCTGAGTTTCCATAAAATTTCCTGATAGGTTAAGGCTGAACAGAGCTAATAGTATCTCTCTGAAAATACGTAGGAAGGAGAAAACAAATTCTATTTTTAAACTCCTGTGTATATTTTTCAGTATATTTATAGCTTTTTGCATTTGTTTGTGTGTGCGGTTATATATTAAAATCTCTAAAGAGTTATTAAAACAAAAGGCAAATGGAACTAATCTATCTCTATCCAGTTCTCAATATGTCCCTAGATGCTTTTATGGCCACACTAGTTTTCAAGTCAGTGTATTGTAGGGAATAAAACAAAAAAAAAAGGGGTGGGGGAAATTAGGGTATGAAGAATAGAAAAGAACGTTCTTTACATTGAACAGTTAGAGGGATTTTAATTAAACTTTTAAAGAAGATAAATGCATCCACTTTTAAATTGTCTTTTCCTAGGCTGCATTTTGACTATGTAACCACACTGCACAGTGTTGTTATTGGTTGATAGTGATAGAAAATTTCTAATGGGATATTGAAATAGAAAGTTTTTAACAAAAATAAACCCTATCATTCCCAAGCCCAACTAAAAAAAAAAAAAAAAAAAAAAAAAAAAGAAAAGCAGTGCTTTGCTTTTTCAGCTATGAAGAAATATGGAAAAAAAGTGCAGTGAAGTCCAGAAAAAGAATGTCCTGAGAAGCAGGACTGACAATGAGCTTTTGACTGACTGCCCAGAGCTGTGACTCTGTCTTTTCTGTTGCTTGGCAACTCCATGTTATCACAAAGAAACTGATATTAAGTTGGAACAGGCTGGATGTGGTAATTTACGTGGGAAGATACTCTTGCAGTGGGAAAACCATTTTATTTCTAGTTTCTGTCAGCATAAGTAGGTTTCACATGATGAACTGTAGTACATCCCCTGTTGGGTGCATTTTACCTAAAAAGGTAAAGAGTGAGTCTGCCTTGGAAAGAGACTATGCAGAAAAAAAAAAAAAAAAAGAAAACCAACAAAACCCCCCACCTTGTTATTCATTAGACCTGCTCCTAGTGTCTACTCAGACATTTCTTCCAGCAGTAGTGACAAAAGCTTGTTTTCATACCTGTGTGGATCCAGTGCATATTAGAGAGATGGAGCTCAGGCATTATAATTTATACTATCACAGACCCTAAGAGCTGTTGATATTTGCCCAAGACCTCACTGTCTTATACAGATGTTAAAAGATGATGCTCACTTTATCTAGATAGACCCCGTTCTTGCTTTTGCATTGGCAACAGTTAAGTGCTAAGTTTCAATTGCACTTTGTTTCTTCCCTGCTGCAAGAAGAGGCTGCACATGTAGCAGTTACAGGATAATTTGAAGGTGGATAGAAAGAATGGCAAGGTTGTGCATATAAAGCAAATCTCATTGTGAAAGCTTTGTGCCACAAGAGATACATAATCCCTAAGGGTGTTTTTATGTTTGGGTTTAGGTCTAAGATTTAATTAGAAGGAGAGAAAGCACCGAAGACTCAGGACTTAATGCAAAGCCCTTTTTCTTAGATGTCTGGTTTACTCATAGCTCTACTGAACCACCACCACTGTCTCTCTGCATTTCCATCCTGCATAATTTCTAGTAATTTAACACCAACATACAGTCCTACAAGTAAGTACTTCACATGTCTTCAGGACTCCCTGTTCTGGCTTTGGTCAGCAAAACACTCCTTGTCTCCAGGCTTCTCTCTACTGCAGAGTTAACTTGAAACATAACTCAACTTTTGCCCTTGGCTCAAATCCCAGCCATACACAAAAACTTCTGACTTGAGTATGTTGATGATGTTCAGCTGAAGGGATTGGCCTGAACTGTCAGAAGGCATAGGCAGCAGCTTAGTTAGTTAGTTTAGCATAGTTAATACAGCTACCCACTGCTGCTCTGAGAACTTTTCATTGCCAAAAAAGGTGTATTTTTACTGTGGGATAATTAGCCTGAATTATCTATCCTTATTTAAAATAAAGCCCTCCATCTCTTTTTTTGCAGTGAAGTTCCCCGTTAACTCAGAGTGTCCCCTTTTGCTGAGGCTAAGCTAACTGAAGAGGGAATGAACTCTGCAATGAAAACAGCCCACAATGTCCTAGGCATCAAATAGACCCACAGACTGAAAGCAAAGTCCTTTTCTGAACAGATTTGACAGTGGGGAGGTAGCTTCCTTGCTTACTTTTCATTTGGCCATCACAGAATGTATCAGCTTGCATCCTATCTAGCAGACTAATGAGTTTGTCTCCTTCTTAATTTACCACATTACCTCCAATAAATCCAAAAATGCTCTGGGCTGTTATCTGACTTGGAAGGGAATAATTACTGGGCTGACTCCAGCAGCAAGCCTGGCTTAATTAAAACACAGTGTATTTCCTGAAAAGGTAGTGACCAATTTTATTCTGAGTGCAACTGAAAACAACTTTATAACAAAATGGAACAGATTAACTTTACTTTTGAACTGAGTCTCCTGCTAAATCATGAAGAGCTGATTTCTTACATCCCCTTACTATTGGCAGCTAGTGGCTAACTTTACCCACCTTAACTGTTGTTTTCCAAGCTAGTTGCTAACACATACCATCTGTTTCTTAAGCCCTGGCATTAGGATAACATAAAGCTTGCAGGCAGTCTCCCGTACCTTATGTTGGTTGCATTCACTCAAGCTCGCTGTAGAGTGTATTCTATGCCAAGTAGCAGCATCCTCTGGCTTGTGGGCCTTGCTAGCCTAAGGGCAGCAAAGCTGTAGCACCTCCTCTGTGTAGCAACAAAAATACCTCTATGCTTCCCATCATCTAGGGTTGAGGCGGGGCTTTCTGTAGATTGCAAGTGTTCTTTAAACAGCTTGGTCATTATGACTTTTATTAAGGGAAAAAAAAGCTGCTTCCTGTAGCACCCATATTTTCTGTCTGCAAGTTTCTCACTGGGAGGAAAAATTGCTGATATGTTTTTTTATTCTTGATTTCTGATGAGCACAGAACAAGTAAGAGTACATATATGAGACAGGCAAGGAGTAGTTAGGAGTATGTACCCAACACCATTCAGGGGTACACCCACCAAGGGAGGGAGCAAAGCTCTGGGGAGAGATGCTGTTGGCACAAATGAAGGCAAAGGATGCCTCCCATTGTGGCCAAGTGGAGCTCTCCAAGAGCATTTCTGGGTACCAAGACAATTTCCCAGGACTGGGGAACTGCTGAAAGCCATCACTCACATCTTGCCCACCATGCCTGTTAGCACCTGCAATTAGTTTCAGCTAGTCATAGTCTCAGATAATGTTTAAAGGAGGGTGGGAGGAAAGACGTAAGTTTACACATCTTTTTGTTTCCAGCACTACCTAAGTATCTCATATAAGACCAAATGACTCAGCAGGTGAGATATATAGCTTGCTACCTGCAAGATTTTTATTTCATATCTGTCTCAGGTTTATAATGACTGTAGGACTGAATTTGATCAAATATTAAACTGGATTCAGCAGCACTGTTATTGGCTTATATTAATGTTATGAAGTTAACTCTCTCAAGTCTTTTCTATAGTTATGGCTTCTTGTTGACTTGCAAGGATTGGTACAGAAATGAATTAAAAGGCAAGTTAAAATAAGAAATGATAAGAGTAAATCTACTTTATTTTTGTTTGGTACTGTTATCAACTCTGAAAATACAGCTGGTCTCCTTTGTTCTAGTACCAGTTCTACTATGGGAAATTACAAGGTGCATGGGTGTTTCTCTTAGGGTTCAGAAGAACCACAGAAGATGTAGGTGAATAAACAGACATGTTGAGCCAAGGTGCAAGTTATTTTATATGCCTAGAATGCAAAATGAATTTGCAAGCTGGAGAGCCAACAGCTATGGGACTGGGAAGGCAGTAAATTTGAATTTTGGGTACTAAAACACCAGCAAATCAAAACACAGCAGAGTAGACAAATCTTCTAAATGTTAAAGAAGAAAACACACACACACACAAAATCAGCAGAAACTTTTGCCTCCTTCGATAACATTGAGTATGACACATGGTTCTGTGAATTTTGATGGGTGGTGATACAAAAATTGTTCTATCTATTACTGACAGATGGTAAGTTTCTTGGTTTAAAAATACATAACTAGCTTGACCTCATGTACCTTGGTTTAAAAATAAAGATCTTTTTATAGCATGTCTCAATTTTGACAACCATACTGTGTAATAAAGATTGGATTCCATGTATAAGCACATTTTAAAAGCCTAAACCAGACTCACGGGGTAGGCTGATCCTCTGAGTTTGTGAAGTCCTCAGAAAGAGGACTCACAGCTGAATGTAATGGCTCCTTGTGTTTAACTCCAAAGTTTGAGTTGGTTGTGGGTTCAGCTTTGAATTTAAAAATGCATTTCCTTGTTTGGTATCTTTCGTGAATTTAATTTCAAAGATGTGTTAATACTAAGTTATCTGTCTTATTGTGATGGTAAGCCTGGAATAAATCTGCAGGAGTGAAACACAATTGAATCTATAAGTAAAATTACTTCTTCTTCATATTGCAGAGCACAGATAACTCAAATATATCTATAATTGCTCAGAACAAAAAGTGCTTTGACAATGATATTGTTTGCTCAAAGAATGTTTTCATCACTGTTGGAAACACTGAGATTTATTTTAGTGAACCTTCTGAGAAGCAGGTTAGTGATTTTCTTTCCTTTCTTTCCTTTTCTTTCCTTTTGCTTTAAGATAAGCATTCTGAAGTTACAACTCTAAACTATGAGTATGTTTTTTGAAAATGTCTCCAACATAGTGCAAGTGTCTAGGCCGGGATAAAGCAGCAGGTCCCAGGAAAAATCTTATTTTTTCCTTTTTTTTTTTTTTTTCAAGTTCTGTTTGTCCTACAAAGAAGACTACTCAAAAACCTCAAGCAGTTGAACCATATTGGCATTTATTTGTTTCTTTCCACTTGGTTTTGAAAGGGAAATGAAAGTACAAAATCAAAGTGAACTGAATGACTGAAAAGACAAAATATCAAAGTATTTAAACAACATTTGTAGTAATATTATTGATCAAGCTATATGCTAAAGTATTCTTCAGTATACGCTTTGTTATTAATTGGCTGCATACCTTGGTAGAATTACTTTATTAGGTCTTAATAAATATTCATTTCTGCCAGAAGACCTTAAGGGGACAGGAAAACAAATCTAACTATCAGCTTTGGAAGGCTGGATATTATACTGTGATACACTTTCCAGAACAAGACATCACAATTCTGTGGGATAAGAAGACAATGATGCATGTTAAAGTTGGACCTCAATGGAAGGTGAGCCAAAATAAAAGCCTGAGATTTTGTGTAGCTCTCTGTGTTGCTAATGTGATCTTTTATTGAATAACTATGATTGCCTTTTCTTCATGACCAACTTTATCATGGTGTTCAGCTGCTAACATTTCCCAGGTAAAGAGACAAAGAATGTGATTCTGTGGCTCAACTCCTTAAGAGAAGGGGTGGTTCCTACATGCACGCTTACTCTGTTGGTCCACACATTGCAACCTTGCAGATATACAGTGATTCAGCTCTGACTCAAAGTTACTCTGGGGGTGGGAAAAGAGGGTTAGTTTTGAGTTACCCAGTTCACTGCATGTTTTCATAATTGCTGAAACCAATGGAAAAGAAGCTTCCATATCTAGCAACGTGGAAGATGGCAGGTTTGTAGCACAGATTGGACTAGGCTGATGGTGGAACTGCACCCTGACATGTAGAGGCTGCTCAGATGAGCAGATGGAATCACATCTTGGTTTTAAATCAAGAAGACAAGATACAGGAAAGGATCTAGACAAAAACAGGCACTTAAACCTAATAAGTATACCAAGACACACTTCAGCCATGATGCAGAGAAGACTATGGAGGCTCTTTCTCTTGCCAGTTGCTCTTCTCTGTTCCGTTCCTACACCATCATCTGCCTTGGTGTCTCTGCAACTCAGACTTTGGGTCCTCGCAGACTTTCTCTGCACATTCAATATTTCTTTGTCTCAACCATGGACACGTATTGAGAGAGGGCTCTTTCCAGTGAAAGAAAGCACTCTATGCTAGAATACAATACCAGATTTTTTTGAAGCATAAATCAAAGTTACAATGACTATCTTCTCTGGTTTTAAAGCAACAGTATTATAGGCTTTTATCCCAGTAGCCGTAAAATGCCTACTTCACATACAAGCTGATTTATCAGTCATCAATATACACAGTGAAAAAAAAAATTCTGTTTTTGAGTAAGCTAGCAGGGAGCCCAGTTATACAGGTTTCATGCAGGGACATAAATACTTCAAGCTCTTTCTGTTTCCAATGACTGTTTCTTCCAGAGGCTCCAGTTCAGTAAGATAATGTCTGCAGCAGACCCTAAGGAAAAAATAATTCATCAGAGTGAGCCACAGCACCCGAGAAATACAACTCTACATTTTACTGTTGTGCAGAAATATCTTTTTCTCTATGTATGTGTATGCGCATATATATATACATACGCTTTTTCCATCAGCAGCAGCAGCACATGCTCCAACACAAGTTACAGCTGTCTCTTTTGTAACTGCTATTACAAATGTTCTTGCTATTGTGAGCTAAAATTAGAGGCAGCAAGTTTTAATGACAACAACTAGTCAAGCTTCACAATCATGAGGTAATTCACTTGAACTTTTGACTTTTGGACTGAATGCACTACTAAGCTTTCATAAAAAAATATGACTAGATTCCAGTCTCTTTTCACAGGCAGACAGTAAGAACAGGTTCTGGAAAAAAAGGAAGAAAAAAGGAAAACATAAATTTCTATTAAAAATTATTTGCAATATGGAACTGTCAGCATAGCAGAGAGTTAGATATTTTCAAAGTATAAGTCAGAGTTGCATTCACCTTTTTCAGTTTAAGAATGTGTTATTACACACGTCATTTTATACTATTGACTGTCAGTATATGTAAAATCCTTCTCCTTTAGGGTAAACTGTCAGGTTTGTGTGGAAATTTTGACAAATATACTTCAAATGATCTGACTACATCAAACAACATGGAGGTGAGAAATGCACAGGTGTTTGGAGACAGCTGGGTATTAGGACAGGTAAGTCCCATGTCCAGTGAAATTTCAGATAAAAAGGATGAGAATTTTAATTTATAAATTAACACATTATGAGCACATGATGTAGAGGGATTTTCTAAACTCATGGTCAATGTATAAGAGGACCTTTTAATTTTTATGTCTGTAAATATGAAATGTGTTAATAATGTCTTATGTCACAGCAAACATGCACTAAATTTAAATAAAACCAAACAACCTTTTTAGGAAAGAATATATTTTTCCCTATGTAAGATAATTATCATAGCTGTCTGGATTTCAGTTTTCTACAACATTAGATACATTGCTTCTAATATTTTGGATTCAGACCAATTTTAAAAACAACTAATTTCGCTGGTTTTGGAGGCACCAGGATATTGAAAGTAAATAGAATCTGAATGCTGGAAAAAAAAGGTCTGGAAAAAAGTTTCTTTCTGAACACTGAAAAAATAAAACAGTTATTTTTTTTTATTTGCAGTTTGTAAACAGAGAACAAACTGGGTGAGACAGAAAAGGCTCAGAACAGCATCAGGCACAACCCAGTATGAAAACTTGGGTTTCTGAGGAGAAGGAAAGAGGCTGTAGAGAGTGGATGACCACAACTGTGTTTTATAACACAGGAGAATAGGTATTTTATTAATCTGTGCTGAGAAGACATAAGGTTTTATAGCCTTATGAACCTCCTGAAAATCCAGTATTTGCAAAGCACTCCCTTAGGACGCTTGTGAGAACCAGTTTTTATTCTGTTCTTTCCTTGACTCATAGCAGGAAATTGAACCAAAATCTCTCACCTCATGAAAGAATATGAAACCTAGTCTGCTTTGAAGTAAATATTTTGAGGCTTCTCTCCCTCAATATCTCCCTTTGGATCCATTTTACATAAAATGTTTAAATTGTGTGAGCAAGCAAGGCAAATGAACAGTATTGGTGGTTATACTGCTTATCTAGAAGGTGGTACATAAAGAAATACGTAAATACTTTGTATAAAGTGTATGAATTTTCCTTTTCCAATTTATCAGTTAGTGGCTGCTTTAAAAAAGTGTGTAGTGTTTGCTTAGCATGTTAACTTTTAGATTGTTATGACCTTTGCTTATGCAGCTCAGATTTGCACTTGCCTTTTTGTGGCCATATATATATTTTTGTAAAATCTCACATAATCTTCTGATCTCTGTGGCTGCCAGAGCACTCAGGATCTGAGTTCAATATTGGCCTTGCAGAAAGCCTGAGCTCAACCAGACTTGCCCACTGCAGAGACAGATGAAGTGCCATTAGGGATTTTTTCAGAAAGGACCTTTGGCCTTCGTAGAGATGTATCCTGGTCATCTTTTCTGCAAAGGCTACATAGCTAGGGGCCTAGAACCCAACTCTTCTACTGGCAAGTGTGTTTTCATAGGCACTGTGAAGTCTGGGATGCTTCCAAAGGTTTCTCCCTCCTGGGAGTGGCAGCACATTTTCTCCATGGAGGCATCTGAGCATCCACACAGGAGGGCATAGTAGATCGGCACTGCAGCTGAGGCTGTGTCGAGACACCGTAATGCTGCCTATGGAGCCATCATTACCCTCTCCTGGGCTTCCCTGCTGCACCAAGAGAGCATGGTTTTGGGTGAACTCATGTTTTCTGAGCTGAATATAGTTTTGCTGTATTTTTGCATTCATTTGTTTTTTTTCTTGAAGAGAGACTTTAAGAGAGGGAGTTTTATCTCAGCCATTTTTGAGTTATCATGGTGATCTTTGGCTCTATTTTTTTTATGGGTCACTCTCTTCCTACTGCTGCTACTTTATTTGAACTTACAGGGCTAAAGCTATCTGTAGTGTGACTCCATTTAAAGTCAGTGCAAAATCACCCACCAGGGATGGATTTGGACTATGTTATTTGTTTGTGATGTTACAGTTGGTTGCTCTGGTAATGATTATAATGTGTCACAAAGAAAACATTTTGTCTTTATGGACTGAGCAGACAGCAGGAACATTGTAGTACTTCAGAACAAAACACAAGGATTCTTTTTTTGTGCGAATGTTTTCAATTATAACAACAAACCAGAGAAAGGGGAAAATGAAGAAGATTTAAACTTTATTTTTGTTTTCTGAGTATGCAGGTATTAAATTATATTACACTATAGTGTACCTGAGACCACGGTAAACACACCTTTGTATAAAGTGTTTGTGGTGTTTTTGCTTGTTTTTAAGTGCAAGAGCCCAAATGAAACACTAAGACCATGTGAGGTACATCAGAGCAAGTTCCCTTATGCCAAAAAGGAATGCTCAATTTTATACAGTGATGTTTTTGCACCTTGTCGCAATGTGGTAAGTTTATTAACTATCCAAGATGTGCTCTCATGTAGGAAAAGATTAAAATTCCAGTAATTAATTTCTTCTTGCCATTCCCCACAGTCTGAATGCCATGGAGGATACAGAGTAGAGCCCTGCAAGTACCTCTTTGTGGGTGGGCTACGTCTGTGCAGAGCTCCTTGTTACTTTCGAGACTGGAGCCTAAACATAACAGTGATAACTGGGAGCCATGAGTTAGTAGACTGGATAATCAAGTTTCTGTTCTCTTTAGGTTTTATTTATATCTTGTATTTATACAGGTAACTAAATTTTTAAGGCTTTTGTATATATTGCAGGGTTCTAAAATAAGTGTTTGTATAACATGCTTGCAGCTTATCTCAAGTGGTTTTATTTTGTTAACTGTTCTGCTCAGTATAGAAAGAAATATGAGAGAATGAGATTTCAGCTTCAGAGTTATTAATATTTTTAATTGGGTGACAGCTTTTCATCTGCTTTTTATCGAATCTCTGAGGTTTGGTGTCCTTGTTTTCCCAACACCTGGCTGAGCCTGGGACTTGAGTTAAAAGAATGTTTTAAAATTCAGTTTAGACAAGATGGGGACAACAATAACTTCTGTGGGAATATTTTATTCCATTTTAGTCCACCCTTTATCAATACATGACATGTTCTATACATTTTTCTCTATTTCTGATTTTAGCATCCCAGAGGTATTTAGTTATCAAAGGTGCTTCTTTATACCTGTGCAAGCAAGAACCACTACGACATTTTGCCCCAGTCTCTCTCTCCTTTTTTTTTTTTTTAAATGACTATTAATACCAAATGAGATCATTAGATATCCCAGCTGAACCTCCTGATTTTCAGGACCGAAGTTTGATATCAACATGGTTTTATGTGGGGCCCCCAACATAAAAAAGACCTGGACCTATTGGAGAGAGTCCAGAGGAGATCCACGAAATTGGTCAGAGTGCTGGAGCACCTCCCCTATGAGGACAGGCTGAAAGAGTTGGGGTTGTTCAGCCTGGAGAAAAGAAGGCTCTGAGGAGACTTAAAGCAGCCTTCCAATACCTGAAGGGGGCTACAGGAGAGATGGGGAGGCACTCTTTATCAGGGAGTGTAGTGAGAGGACAAGGGGTAATGGGTATAAGCTGAAAGAGGGTAGGTTTAGATTAGATATTAGGAAGAAATTTTTCACTGTGAGGGTGGTGAGGCACTGGAACAGGTTGTCCAGGGAAGTTGTGGATGCCCCATCCCTGGAGGTGTTCAAGGCCAGGCTGGATGAGGCTTTGAGCAACCTGGTCTAGTCGAGCGTGTTCCTGTCCATGGCAGGGGGGTTGGAACTTGATGATCTTTAAGGTCCTTTCCAACCCAAACCATTCTATGATTCTATGGTTCTATGGTTAGGAATTTGCCTGAGGAGAAGGTTACAGTAGCTTAACCCAAGAGATTTATTAATGTTGACTTCAGTTACTATGTAAAGAATTTTTTGAGCATGTGCCTGAGAACATAGCAATGACTGTATTTTCAAAATGGAAAGTAATAAAAATGGAACTTTTGAGAGTTTTTAAGGAGCTGTATTATTATAACTCATAAAGAAAGATGTTTTCTCTTGAACATTCATTTTCTATATCTTATCCATGTTGCGATTAAAATTTGCAAACATTCAGCCAAAAAATTAGCATAATTATGTTAAAAATGCATGTCAGGTGCAAGGCATGTCACTTAATTACTACTCAAGTATTTTCACATGCATATATTTATCTTGTATGGAATAGTGTGTAAAGCAAACATCTTTCAGATGTTTATACAACATATTCATCATTGTTTGAATAGATGGCTCTTACATATGTAATATAAAGTGACCTCCTCTCAAGGATATCTGCAGCTGGCTGCATAGGTGGGGAACTGGGTGCCAAGGAAAAAAAAGCTCAAGCAGAGACTGACATTGGGAGCACAGAAGGAACAGAAAGTGTAGATGTGGGTTTCAGGATGTGGTTGGAGCAACGCTCTTACAGTTGCTCCTGTGGTGCGGTTGGTGGAGGATCCTGCTGTGCATGGAGGCAAGTTCGCGGTGTGGGACAGGCAGCCTCAGAGTTCAGCTGAGGCTGGAAAACCCTGTTTTCAGGGAGAAAAAATCTTGCATCTCTGGCTGTCAGGGACTGATGGATTGCAGTTGCCCAGCTAAGTGCTGAACTCTGCAAGGGCTGAGGAGCCTCAACACTTACAGAAAAAAAAGTCTTCCTCATAATTCCTCAATTTAGCAGGCGCTTTGACCTGAGACTCCCAGTTTGTTACAACAGCACGATGTTGCTGACCCATGGAGATGCTCTCCTGCGGACATGAGAGACAGGTTGAGCTCGCTGGAGCCAATCTGCAGTTTGGTGGTTCTTGTGAAATGACTACAGCAATTTTCAATGGAGTTAACGCTCATGCCCACACACCAGTGGTATCCTTGTTTTCAAAATAAGAATAAGAATGAAAGTAAAATGGCATCTCTCTCCACTAAGTCAGAAAAACAGTCTTTGTATCCCTGCCTGCTTCTAGCAACTGCCAGCTGAGAAGCTGTCTCCATGTTAGATAAGTGCTGCTTTGTTACAGAGATGGTATTTCTCTAATGTAATGTGTGCCATTTGAGTGCCCTGCAACTGAGCTAGACTAGAGTCTAAACTGAAGAAAAGCATTGCTTTAAACATTCCATGTGTTCAGTAAGAACACTGTTTTGGAAATGTTGCTCAACATTACAAAGAAGTTTAATAAAACCCCAAAATAGTATATCACATAAAGCCATGAAATAATGTGGTAGGATTTTAGAGTGAGCATGTGGGTTTCTGATCTAATGAAGGTTTGTGGGCAATGTATATTAAAATCTAGATAAGTGCAGAAATATTTTTCTGCAAAATGTCACCAGTGTGCTCAAGCTTTCTTTCCCTGATCAAAACTCCCTCACAAATTATTACTTTAATTACTTGATAATCAGAGCTGTAGCTCTGACTCTGTTGTTGTTCATGCAAAACTGACAGGATGACTACAGATGGCAGTATTTGCCTTATAAAAACATAACTGCCAGCCTCAAAATACTCTCCAAAATGAACAGCAAGTGTGTGGACAGACATACTTGTCAATAGTCACTGATGACTGAAATTTTCTCTTGGCCTATAACATTGGTACAAGGTGATCATTCAAAGTGTCCTTTTTGTGTAGGAATGTAACCATACCTTAGAAAATACCTTATTTTTATCTTAATTTCTTTCAATCAATACAGAGGTAGCATTCCGTCTGAAAATAGCGCAACAGGAATAGATACAGCTCATGCAATGAAGTCACCAGCCCTCTTTTTTTTTTTTTTTTTTTCCTCTTCCACCCCACCCTGCCCCCCAGATTGATGTGACTTCTTTCGTCAAAAATTGTCACACGGACACATGCAACTGCCATCTTGGTGGGGACTGTGAGTGCTTGTGTACCAGTATTGCAGCTTATGCCCACAAGTGCTGCCAGCAAGGAGCAGCGATTCACTGGCGATCTCCTTCGCTCTGTGGTATGTACCTGGAATGGCCTCACTGAAGCTCATCTTTGAGGCATCTTTGGCCTTTTACTGCCCAGTAATACAAATGTGACAGAAGCACGTGGATAATAAATGCACTTCACATTTTTCAAGTTGTCTCTGTGTTAGCCATTAGTCTTGTACACCCAAATTTGCTGTCTTACTGAAGAGGGCTGGCTGTGCGCAGGGTGTGCCAGCCAGACACTGTTGGAAAGCCATCGGTACTCCAGACCTGGGATGTGTCCAGTGTTCTGTGTAGGGCTGCAAAGAGATTCAGTCTATTCTACTTGTCATTGACAGTGAGAAGGGTTCTCAACTGTAGAATAATTCATATTACAGGTCTGCTGTCCTTGCATATCTATTTAAATACAGTGGTATGTAACTGAATAAAAGCCTAAGGAAATAAAGTCACTGACTGAAACACATTATGGGAAATGAAACTTCCTCTGATGAAAGTGAATTTTACATTTTTAGGATGCAGATATGCATAGATTCTGTTGTTACTTTGTAATAGTAATGTGCTTGTTTTCTTTTTCTTCTAGCTTATGACTGTGAATATTACAATCAAGGTATGTAGTATTTGATATTTGTGTCTTTGATTCATCCTCATATTTATATACCTTGCTGAATATACTTACTCTTCATGTTTTCTATCATGCCAGATAGCTATGTGCTAGAAACAAATCTGTACTTCCTGGTTCCAAAATTGAATCTATTTTTATAAAGCATTTAGTTGCAGATAATTCTGCATATTGACCACTCTAGAATACAGAAGGTGTCTTTGCCGTACTGTTCTATCATTTTCCTTCCTATATGATGCTATTTTGATTATCTTTTAAAAATAAATACCCAAGAGACACTTTTCTTACATCAATTCACTCAGACTAACCCCGTAAAAAAATACATAGTGATTTCCTCTTTTTACGGGTTAGAATGATTTTTTTTTTTTTCTATACTCGTGATTTGGTTGTGTGAGTTTAATGAGCTCAGCAAGTTAGCAAAGCAAGTCCCCATGGGCCTTTCTGCTGTACGTCCAGGGTATTGTAAGCAAAATGACACATCTGGCACCTCAGATAAAACATGGTACAGTGCACATTGCAAATAAAACCCTTTGTAGCTTGTGCTGAGAAGAATCTCTGTCTGCTGCAGCAGTGTTAGAAGTTATCTCTTTTCTGTTCTCCCCATTTCCTAGGGTAGGATTGCATAGTCACTCACAATCCCTCGAGCTCACTGGGCCTTCAAATCCATTAGAAAGGAGAGGTGACTTGTATGAGCCTGGAGTATTGTGTGTCATTTTGTGGCATATTCCTTGCCTATTTAATATCATTATGTCATTATACTGACTTCTTCTTCCCTGCTGTTCTTCTACGGAAATTTAAAATACTGCTTTTTTCTGTGCAATATCTCATGTGTTACTTGAGATTTGTCCTATACAAACACAGTCCTACATTAGTAAGGAATTAAAATATTGACATGTCATTGTGCATCTTAGAAGGTTAGTATGGCAATTACCATTTGAATTTTCACCTCACTGAACTAATTTCCTTTGGCATAGGGAAGCTCAAGTCCTTTTCGCCAAAAATTAATGGTGTGGATATAATGCATCTCTGATGATACTGAGTTAAGATTTATAAGAATAATAATTAATTTGGTATGATTTTTGAAAAAAAAATCCTCATAAATTTTATGAACATTTGTCACACTATGCAATTATCTTCTAGGTTTTCATGCTGAAGTGGCTTGCTTTGTTTTATTTTTCCCTCTTACATTGACATATAAAAGAGATTGCTCTGGTTCAATTAAAAACTCAATTGAGTTAATTGATGGGCTTTTTCTTTGAGTTGGTGTATGTAGTTTTAATATTGCTTCTACTTTCAATGGGTGAAGAGCAGTGGCCCAGCTACGTATTCCCTAATGTCTCAATTAATAACCTCATCATTCTTGATGCGGGGGTGGATTAATGCAGCATGCAGCATATCTTGGCAGACAGGGAGAAGCTCTAGAAGGATGTTAGCTTATGCTTATACTGTAAATTTCAGAACTGGGACCTATTATATCTTGAAATTGCTGGTAACAGGATTTTATGCACAAGCCTCACAAGTATTGTACTGTAAAGAACAGTTCCTCAGCGCGAGAGTGGTATTCATTTAATAACTTAATTCCTGTGGCATCCCCCTTGATATTTGGATAGTCTGCATGTTTTGTGGGCAGCAAGATGTTAAAAAAAGAAGGGAAACTCAGCTAAATGCAATGATATGAATGTAACTTTCGATACATCTTTTTTAGTGACTTGCATCCTATAATGAGTATCATACAGTAGATTACTTTTTTCTCCTCCAAGGAGTCTGATGCACTGCAGTAGCAGCTTGTAGATACTGCTAGGTATAGCTGGCTTTCCCTAATTTCCTTGCCATAGGGAATTTTATCTTATTTAAAAAATAGGAAGGTGTACTGGTTTTGATTTGGACAGAGTTAATATTCTCCATAGTAGCTTGTATGGTGCTGTATTTTGTATTTGTGACGAAAGCAGTGGGTATAACACACCCATGTTTTAGCTACTGCTTATGCAGCATCAAGGCCTTTCCTGGTTCTCATGCTGCCCCACTAGTGAATAGGCAGCGGGTGCACAAGGTATTGGGAGGGGACACAGTTAGGACCGGCTGACCCCAACTGACCAAAGGGGTATTGCAGAACATATAACATTATCTTTGGCAATAAAAACTGGGAAGGAAGTTTGCCAGGGCTGGCATTGCTCAGGGTCTAGCTGAGCATTGGTTCACTGGTGGTGAGCAACTGGGATTTTTTTGCATGACTTTTTGGATTTGTTTTACTCCCCCCTCCTGCCCCTTCCTCCCTCCCCCTCCCCCTCCCCCCCCCTTCAAATTTATTAAACTGCATTTATCTCAACCCACATGGTTTTTCAGTTTTTCCCCTCTGCTTTGCTCCCCGATCCCACTTGGTGGGGGGGCTGAGCAAATGTTTTTTGTGATGCTTAGCTGCCCACCAGAGTTAGAGTCAAGGATGGCATTAGGTGCATTTCCACCACCAAGTGCCAGCAAAACACCTTTTGGGACATAGGATGGCTCCTCCTCCGATTCTTTTTTTTCTCTGCATGATCCTTGAGGTCTTTTCCAACCTTCCTGATTCTATGTGAAACTGTTGAATCTTTATGGAAGCTCTATCAATTACACATCACTCCTGCTTTTGTTCAAGTCATAGGCAAAATGTCTGTTAATATGTAGGGATAAACATTCAATGATATAAAATAAATAGTATTTTTAAGATAACTTGCCTCACCACTTCTTTGAAAGTGGTCATTTTGTGGCAAGCTTGTGGGCTTCACATGGATATGAGCCCCAACATAGTTTCCATGCAAACATAGTGGCTTTTCATGCAGTTTTCTTCAGAAAAATCTTCTAGCTGAGCCAAATCTCATTATTATGAGAATTCCTTTCCTCTTGGGAGAGTCATATTTGAAAGGACCTGTCTTTGACTGGGAAAGGGATTCAGTCTTTTCACTGTAAGGATTAAAAGCTTTCACAAAACTTACACATTTTGTTTCTTACTTACAAGGTGAAGTTTTAGAAGTATGCTGCTCTTGGTTCTTTCAGTGGGATACAGTGACAAAGACGGATGCTGTTATCTGGATGTATCCCTGTGAGCCTTTCCAGCTCAGCAGAAATAGCTCCAGGGGTTTGCTGCAGGGCATGGTTAGGCCAGCACTATTCTGGCAGTAGTGCCAGCTGAAGCTGTTGTCCTTGTTATATTGGCATGAGATTTTGAATGAAAAGGTGGTGAGCCAGACTGGAAAAATTATCTGGTTTCTTTTCAGCTGGGTCCCTTCACTGCTGAAGCAATTTGGATGGCATAATAAATGGGGCAGTAGGGGGGCAGAAGCAAGTGGTTTGTGGGAGAGAATGAAGTAGACAATTGCTTAAGCAGTATTGCTGCCAAAAATTGAATTACAGCCTTAGAATTCAAAATATGGTTTTTTAGGGGGGAACCGTCTTGTAGATCTTCGATTAGCTGCAGTGTCTATTTGGGGTTTAATATTAAAGTTACTCTGATTTTTCAAAGTAGAGAAATAAAGACACGTGAAAGACTAAATACCATAAAAAAGCAGCCCAGATTGCTTTCTTATACAGGCCATTTTGTGAGGGTAGCCATCCACACTTTTTTGTGCTCACTTTGTATCTGTTGTATTCTGGGCAGTAAGCAAAGAATAAGGGAGTACATTGAACAGATAGATACAGACCGACTCCAGCATAATACCTTGAGGCATTGAGCTCTAGTTCCAAATTTCCTTGATTCCAGGTATGGTGAAATATTTAAGGTAATATATTATGTCAAATAAGACTTAAGTTTTCTATGTTATGCAAGAAGGATTTTTTTTTTTCCTATTTGACTTTTCTTCCCTTAGGTCTTGGTGAAGGACCCTATATTTTGGCAAGTTATGGAGAGAATGACACAATTATAGGAGCTAACGTATCCAGTAGAAGTATATTTCCCCTGCCTAGAACTGGAGCATATGGAAATGTATTTTTCAGTTTCATGATAACTCCAGGTCTTTTCAAAGATAAAGATTTATGTAAGTGTTCTCAACAATTTTGCTAATGGCAATACATATTTTTCAAACTATATGAATGATTTTTGCTGTATCTTCTAAATCTCCTAAAATAGTCTATATATTTTTAGTTACTGGGATAAGTGAGAGTGAAGTGGCCAATATCAAAACTAAGAGTTCTACTTTTAAGGAAGAATACTGATTTTTAAAATTTATTTCCTTTTTTAAATACTGGTAAACCTCACTGCCAGCTTCAGTCTTGACTTTTCAAAGTTTGTTTTAGAAATGTTGCAAAATGCAAGTGAATATAATTGCTTTGTGGAAAAAAAAACTAGATTGTGTAACTGGAAACTGTAAAAATTTGCACATGTATCTAGCAAGTATCAACTCTGAAGGTGAATGCAGAATATTTTTGTGTTTATATTTTCTTCCTTTTTGTGACTTTCAGTGGACCACAAAATGGTCAGCTTTGAACAACCAACCTGTCACCTGCACATTATTAGTCAGCAGCCTCTCAATAAAATGTAGAAGGAAGTTTCTTAGGTGAACAGCTATTCCTAATATCTATTTCTCACTTATGAGAGACTGATCCAAATTATGCAGCCAAAAGTAAATACATTTAAATATTTTTCCTTCTGCATATATTTTCCTTGCTTGCCATACAGTGGGTTTGTGACAATTAAGTCAATACAGATTTTGTCATTGCTTTCTTACTGAATTTAATTTGTTGAAAAAATCCTGAACTCTCAAAAATCAGCAAAGAGAAGGGCTCTTTTCACAGTAAAAATCAAAACTGTATTCACAAGCAGTTGACAATTTTGCAGGGGAGAAATTGGGTTTTTATTGATTTTGAAATGAGAAAGTACATAGAAGAATTCATTCAGTCTTGTAAAACTCCAACCAATGTAAGTTGTAAGTAAAATACTCACTAATCTGTGCAGTACACAGACAGTTTTCATACCTGTGAGGAATGAGATAGTATTTGCTTCAATTAAAGACACATCAAGATTTTGTTCAAGTTGATAACCAAATCTGAAGTCAGTCATCTTCTAAGTTCTTAAATTGTCAGAGAATTTTCTTCACTTGATTTCTGGCATGGGTAGAGCAAATAGAAGGTCGAGTCTTTAATTTGGCCACAGGTTTTCTTACTGCATTGATGTATATGACTGAATGTAAAAAAGTCTGACCTCAAGGTAAAGTCAAGAATGTTCCTACAATATTTGTGTGATGTTATTTGCTAATGAAATTTTGGTATGGCTGAACTGTCAGACATTTATCCAAATTGGAGAGAAAACCTGTCCCAATTTGAACAAGTCCTAATCTGAGACTGCTTATTGATCATTTCAAAGGCTGGTACCAGTAGGCTGAATGCAGTTTTGATCTAACTGATTAGCTCTCTGGTGCCTCTGGATATATGTGAAGTCTTCTTTAGATCCTGCATTTCAAACTTTTTTTTTGTGTTACATAAGACCGAAATATTTTTTTTTTGTGAAAAGCAGTTGTTTAAAAGGAGCCATCTAACAGCCAATATGTAGACTGTAATCTCACTTTCAGGTTGTTTTCTGTGAATACTGTAATTATTTTTTTTCTTTTTTCTTTTGTGGAAGCGCTCTCTCTTGTTTCCCTTGAGTCTGCTGAAAGACCAAACTACTTTCTGTACGTACATGACAACGAAACCATTGAGTTGGAACAGTGGCAGGCAAGTGCTTCCTTTCAGAGACGAGCCACGTTCTTCCACCATCAGGGCCTCTGGATTCCAGGGCTCAGCGCCTTTGAACTGCACAGTAAAAAAGGCTTTTTCATCATTCTCACTTCGTCCAGTGTTAAAGTGGCAAAGTACGATGATTCAGAAGAATTCAAACGTTTGAGTAGCTTTAGAATTCAAGGTAAATTTTGCATTATATGCAGGGATAAGTATAGGTTTTTTCTTCTTGCCTTCAGAGCACTTATCTTTCATCAGCAATATGAACAACTATTTTTTTATTCCTATTCTGTCATTGTCTTCTATCCCACCTCCAAATGCTATTATATTCTATTTTTTGCAGACATGATGATTACTTTATCTTTGAACTACATTTTAATTGTTTTACTCTTTCGAAATGAATGTGGCATGTCACAAAAAGATGCATGTTAAAGTCTTGTTAGTGAGCTATAGATATCTATTATTTTAAATGAATTGGGTAACTGTATTGCTTCTGCAACCACCAGTACCTTCACTATGTTTAATTGATTTTTAAGTTTTTAGACAGAATATATTGTAAAAGTGAGTAGTTGTTTGTGTCTTTGAAGCTTCAGTGTCTTCTAGCTTGATTGAATTTTAAAAACTTGAAACTGAAAATGAACAAAATCTCACCTATTTGAAAGTTCTCAAGAATTTCTATACTTGGCTTTTGATTTTTAATTTTTCTGAAAACCTCAAGGTATATTATAGAAAAGACTATAAATTTATAGCTTATTGACTACACAATCAATAAAAATACCTTTTCCTTCTTTCTCAGAACTTGGTGCGTCTGTACCTTATAGAAGGATGTGTGAATGGCGATATGAATCTTGTGCTAATCCTTGTGTTAAAACATGTAGTGATCCTGAAGGAATAGCATGTAAATTCCTTCCCCCGTAAGTCAAATTAAATTCAGTACTGCTACCGTATTGTTTTTTGTAATATGCTTACCATGTGCTTTCTGAAAACTACTGCAGCTGCGATATCCACTCATTTTTACTTATCCAGATTTCAGTATCACTCTTGTGAGCAACTCTCACAAGTCATGTGAAAACATTTGCAACAAGCCCCTCATTTCCCACGGTATGTATTCCTGTTTACAGGCAGTCTTTCAACACAACAATAAGAAGGTTTGTATTTAGCCCAGGGGATTAGCTTCTGGTAGTGGTTAAGCGGAAATCTATTAAATTAAATGAAGGCTGTTCCCATCTATGGATTTATATTCACATATTAAACCAGCATCCCATGATGCTGTAAATGACTACATCTTTCTGGTGTTTATATGACAGAGATCAAAACCTGTGCGAATAGTAAGGGTGGACTACGCCCTCTCCTGTAACAGGAGGGAACTTTATACTAAGAGATGCTCATTGTCATCACACGAGGGATTTCACACTGCTGATGTTATGTTGTTACTTAGTAACAAGATTTCCTGTCTCCACAGGCACAAAATCTGGTGGAAAAAAAAAATGGTATTTTGAATTTCAGACTACCTCCCTAGGCACATGCAGTTTATGATTAGGAATATTACTAATAATACTAATTTTCTCTGTCGCTATTCTTAGCTTTTTCCATATGGACACACTGGTTGTTAATGTTGTGATTTAAAAAAAAAAAATAAATAAAAATCCCCAAAAATGAAAAGTTAAGGGAATATAAGGACTTGCCTGCACTCGCCTATGCTGAAAGTGCACAAGAATGAGACTTCCTATGGAGTCAGTCTAAATATTTTAATGTCTCAAATGAACATATCTGGGTAAAACTGTAGTCTTGTAGTGCGAAGGTCCTTGTCCTGTGGGAAACCTTTATGCTTAGGGATCTGAACTTCCACCTGGTTGTGGAAGCAGAATGGTCCAAAGCTATCACGTTCATCAGCCTATGCAAAGAGTTGATTATTAACAGTTTAGAAACAGAATTGTGCTGTTCAATGTCTTCTTGACCTTAAAATGCCTCAAAATGCTGTGTTCACCATTACACTGGAAAGTTCTCAGAACTCTGATGGGGAAGATATTAAAATGTTTCCTTTTGCCAAAGTGAAATAATTTAAATTTAATTTATATTTCTGCTGTGGCTTTAGAATTAACTACACAATATTTTAAAGGGTTGAAGGATGCTTGCCATACTGTCCCAAGAACATGATCCTTGATGAAGTCACGCTTAAATGTGTTTATCCAGAAGACTGTAAGTATATTTTGGTATATTGGTCTGATCTTATACATCACTCTAGAGATCCCAGGAAAGGTTTTAATCAAATGTACTTTGTTGTTTTTTATTAAATGCTTTACCAGACCATCTTTCTGTTGAAGAATGTGTCTCTGGGACACAGACTCCATTCCCAGTCAACCGAAATACATCTCCTACATCCAAACAAGCCATATCTAAAATCGAATTATTTAATTTCTCTAATAGTATGTTAAATTTAACCTTTTGTGATGCTGTTATACTAATCACAAATATATTTGACTATATGCTGCTAGTACACCATATGTATATAAGAGAAAGATCCCAAACGGAAGAAATACTGCTGTGGCAAAAAGTTCAGACATTTCAGTTGATGAGCCACCACCAAGAAATTCAGTGCGTCTATTTCATAACTTCTGGTGTGTGAAGCTACCACATTATTTGCTTATTTTGGGGATATGGTATTCTTTTAACATAACAGTTACATTTTAATGCTGTCTCTTATTTTATTTTACAAGTTTTGAACGAAATACATTATGTTTGATATTTGCTAGTACAAAGTTATCTCATATAGTATACTGCATTCCAAAGATATGAAAGAAGATTACATATTCTGTAATACATTTATTCCAAATATTTTACTATTTTGGATTTACTGAATTTTCCATGGAATTCCCTTGTTGCTTCAAAACTACTCTGCAAAGTCAAGATTTTCACTAATAATAAAAAATTAGCTACTCCATTTGCAAAGAAAATTAGAAAACTTCTTGAGTGAGCTGAGTTCCTCAACAGTCATCAGGCAACCTGGAACAACTGGCAAGTTATCTTCTCAGCAAAATGATGCTCTTATTTGCCAATATTTAAATGGGACTTGAGTAGAGGTAGATGTTGCTATTTTGCTTTACCAATAATCCATAAAAGACAGTGAAACGTGTTTTTTCCTTCTAGGCATACCTGTGACACCTACAGAATCAGCAATTGGAACAAAACCTTCATTGTTAATCTCTCACATGGGTGCTACTGTGGAGAGAGTTCCTCAGACACCTTTATTTGTTACTTCAGGAACTGAGTCATCTCTTACTGGTGCGACAGCCAAAATAACCATGAAAGCAAACACAACTTTAAGGGGAATTAATATGTTGGCACAGTCCATTACAGACTTCTATTCATTGGAAGCATCTAATGCAGCCACCTATATTTTCATTACCAAGTACAGTGGAGCCTTCTGATGTACTTCACAGCACAGCCAGCCCTACTGTCCTTTCCAAACTCATCTCTTCAACAGATTTTCCAACTGCTCTTCCAGCCTCAGCAGTCACATCACATACTGTCAATTCTACTGCATCTATAACTTTACCCATTACAATAACAACTCCAACAACCTTGCTCAGTGCAAGTCCTATTCCAACACGTTCTGCATTATAAACACCCACTTCCCTAGTGGTAGTTCCGTTTCTACTTGAAACATCAACCGCTCAGCTAGGAACAGTTCCCCCTTCCTCAGCATTAAAAACTTTAACCTTCAAGCCATCTTTTGTCACTTCTGAGCTGCCTGCAAGGATTGGGAAGAGTAGGAGTACTTCCGTAAGTCATTCTAAGGGAGCAGCAGTATCCTCTGAAGTCTTTGTCTGCTTTGCTGTCTGGCAGAGCAATTTTCACAAGACCTGTGATTCTTCTAGGTTCATGGTTGACACTAAGGACATCTACTTCTCCTATATCTACTTTGTCTGTTAGAACTAGGTCTGGCGTTGGTCAAACTGCAGTTGACCTAATACCCATTTCTGCACTGACTTCAACTGCTCCTCAAATTCCTACGACTACTAGATTTGCTAGCTATGAGACAACTTTTCCTCAATTAATCACAGCTTCATATTGTCAAACAGCAAAACTCTTGTCTAAAATTCCTCTGGTATCATTAAATGCAAGTTCTTTAGCTAGTTTTCCTCCAAAGCCATTTTTATCTTCAGTGGAAATTTCAGTGACTGTTCCCAAGTGGACATCTCCATTAACAAAAGGCAGTATTTCTGCTCCGCTGCTCATAATGACTGTATCTTCACCTGAAGTTGCTTCTCAAATCCCTATAAATACTTTGAGTCCTTTTGTAACATGCACAGTAACTGTACCAGTGCATTCTCTGTTTACACCCATGAAGCCCAAAGCTATGGCAGATGTCACGGTTGCCTCCAAAGGTCTTTATATACCTTCCACTCTTCTAGTCAATCCAGCAATCTCTGATATGTCTATAGCAAGTAAAGCCTCAACAGAAAATACATTATGCACACAGATCCCTTTTCAGTGTCATCCATTTCTAAAAGGCTGAAGAAATCCATTATGTCTACAGTCTTCCCTCTTAGGATATTGGTATTACCTCTAAATGCTACATTAGCAACCACTTCAGAAATTACAGCATACCTAAGCAGTTCATATACAGAATTATAAACTGACCCCATGGCACAGAATTCAGGCACTTTCATTCCTAAAGATCCTTCTCTTACAAAGTCATCATCTTTATTTAGTCTTATTATCAGCATCAGTACCATCTTGTGCGACATCTCATACTACAAGTTCATTGATTCCCATATTCAATAGGACATCATCATTAATACAAAATATAGCTGCTACCCAAACACCAGTTTCATTTCTAGATACACAAAGAACTTCAAAAAGTCCAGTTATAGACTTTGCAACAACTTCTCTAGATTTTTCTACATTCACTTTAACCATAAATTCTTCTACTAGCTTTTAAGCAGTGCTAAAAACATCCATTATAATGCCCTCTTTACTAATGCCTACAACTCCTGAAGTCACTTTAGAAAGCCACTCCAGTAGGGTCTCTATGTCTTCATCTTGTCCTAAGACCACTCATATCTCTGCTGTTTCTCTAGGAAAACAGAGTTCTTCAGTAAGTTCTTCAGAAGAACATGGAACAATATCAGCCATATCAGCTGGAATAATCACTCCATCCACTACACCAGTGATCACAAACACAACAGTGAATGCTACATCCTTAAAAGCACCTTATATTTTGGCAAAAATACCAGCTAGCTCTTCGGCCAGTTTATTAGTTGCTTCTGGCACTCCTGTAGCCTCTAGGATTACCTCAAAAACCACTGATTCTTTCATTGCCAATTTGGAGTTTTATACGGCTTCAGCTTCAGTTCCTACCACCATAGAAATGCTCATGCATGTTTCAAACAAATCTTTATTTGCACCTGCGGCAACTCAAGCTTCACAGAGCACCAAAGAAACTCCAAAAATGATGATCATGAAAACAAATGGTACTACAAGTCCATTATCACAAACGAAGAGTACCTCATTTACAGCTTCAGAAGTTAAATATGCAACCTCATTTGAAAGAACTGTGGATATTTTAGAAAGTGGTCAGACTTCACATGAGCAAAGAAATGTTACCAAGGCAAAGTCTACCACAACTGAGAAATCTTCCCTGCCTTATCTGACAGTGTCTGCAGTCCAGAGTTCACCTTTTTCGAGAAATACAACCTCAGTAAAAAATCTCTCTCTTTCTGGAGTCCCAGATGTAGCAACATCAGATTGGTCCAAAACCCCAACACGGAAAACCATTAAGCCTTATTTCAGCTTAACAGAGCCCACAGAGCTGCAGACCAGAACTATAATAGGTTTATCTCATTTTGGTGGAACAGCTCTGCCTTCCTCTTCAGAGCCTGTAGAAACACAAACTCGTCTGGCAAGCACAGAAACAATGACAGCTGCAGCTGACAAGGCTTCCATTGGTACCATGATGCATGCACTGATGTCTACATCTTCCGAATGTGTGGTATGATCAGTTTTACTTGCCCCTATGTGTTTTGTTCCCCCTTTTCAGTCCATTTTGTAATACCAGAGACTGCAAATATCTCCTATTTTTGTTTTTATTGGTATATTTTAAAATACTCAATTATTCTTAGAGGATTGTTGTATTACTGCTGCAACTTGTATGTATTGCTGTGGGAAAAATATGTCTTTTAAAACTATATGCTGATTCTAGATAGCAAAATATATTTCTGAGGTCCAGAGAAAGCCATAATCCATGGAATTTTTGGGGTTTCTGCATAATCTCACCCTGTCTTTCTTTTTTTCCATTTGTTTCTTTATTTTAGGGTTTAAAATTATGGGAATGCATGATTCTGTATTTCTTAAAATGCTTCAGATTATTACTGAATATAACATGTAGCCTTAATGCATAACGCTTTACATAGAGTATTCCTCCAAAGCCAGATGGAGCTGGGAAGGTGTCGGGTACAGAGATGTGCAACATTGTTACCTGTTACAACCACACAAAAGCAATTCATTCCAAATAACTGATGAGGGGTCACACAGATACACTGCTTCTGACTTGGAGCAGGGCAATGAACAAGTGATCACTTGGACTTCATAGGGGCAATGAATGTAAAGTTGATTCTGGTTGTTTTTTCCTTATATGACAGCCAAGATACCTTGAACCTGTTGACAAATGTACCCAGTATGTATGTGTTGATACGGGTTGGATGTTATACAACCTTTCAAGGAACTGCCCTAAGGATGTGCACAAGCCAGACTGTGGTTTTAGAGGAATGCCCGTTCAAGTTAACACTGATAGTTGTTGCCCAGAATGGGAATGTCCCTGTAAGTCACTGTTCTATTTTTAAATACAACATAAAGACTTGATATTTAAGTTTCAAGTAATAAAATAAGGGTTTATTACAGTGGAAATATGAGGTTGAATACTGGAATGAATTTAAAGGAGCTGTTCATCAGCAAAATGGAGTGAAATATAGTAAGTGTTTTGATATCTTTGAATTAACATTCAAGACAGTCAAACTATTTTGTTTTGAATGAAAATACTGAAATGAAATCTGCAGCATTGACATCAACATTTTCCAGCTGAGACTTTTCAGAATTTCTATAACCAGAAATGTTGAGATTTCAACATTTTGTGAAGGAAATAAATTAAATACTGGCATTTTCTGAAAGACAGAACCCCCAAAGGTCAGTTAGCTCTAACTGCAGTTTTTACTCATATTTAGAAACTGCAGAAACTGGCAGATGACTGTCTGCCAAGGGAAGAAAAAGGTGAAAGAGAAGTAAGATTTAAAACCCTGTAGCATTACTGAAACCAATATTGTACTTGTAAATATTTGTCTCAGGATAGAACAGATCAGTCTCTTGTTATCAATATCTCAAAAATATGTCTATTTTAATGCATACATTTTATCTGACAATGTACAAATTCATTGACCTTGCCCATAAACATTGACTTAAGTGAAAATTTTCACCAACTTAAAACTTTCTCCACTACCTTGGTCAGTAGATTAAGGTATTTCCACTGAATAACATAAGATACTTACATCTGCTTATGGCTCAGTATGCTGTTTGCAGAACAAGGTCATCAATACGTATATAAGCATACCTCATATGAGAATAAATATTGCTAAAACTGAAAGTTTTTAGAAATGCCTTGTATTCAGTTTTGTGGTAACCTCATTAATCAACAGTTCTTTTTTTAGGTCAATGTTCTGTACTGTCTGAACTGAGTGTTATTACATTTGATGGAAACAACATAGCCCTCTGTAATATGGCTTCCTACATTTTAGTGAAGATATCAGGAGAAATTATTGTTGCTCATATTGAAAAATGTCCTGCGAATCAGGTAAGATTCTTGCATTTCCACAATACCTTGAATAGTTTCTTGAATTTTTGTGTTATAGGTATGAAATTCTGCAAAAATGTATCACTTAAAAATTCAGGTAAAAGCCAAACCCACTGAAAAATGGCAAATTTTTAATTTTCAAGGAGTGTGCTTTATCATTCTGTCTAGATAAAAGAATTTTATCTCAGGTTGAATAGTAGTTATCGTATTATGTTATAAGAACATTAAAATGTAACTTCCTTTTAAATTATCAGGGTGACATAACTTCTGAATCTACACATTTTCTTTTAGGCTCGCCACTCACAAATCTTCTTGAGGCCTTGAATTTATACTTTACAATATGGTCAAAATACCAAAATATTTTGAATACTCACAGAAATGTTTTGTAGTTATTTTAGGAAAGCATTAATGTGTTTGGGATTAGTGTGATGAGTTGTTCTTTGTCTAACTCTGCATTGCCTGCAGGGGGAGATTCAACTACTTTATTTTTAGACTGACAGTTTATTTCAGGTCAGTCTCATCCTTAGAGTCTCTACATACATTTCCTTTGCATTGTCCATAGTCCTAATTTGTGCAGCCGTTGAACAACTGGCTTGTATTTCCATTTTGGTTCGTGGATAAACAAGTTTCTGTTAAGGATTTTCATCAGACTTCTTTGTTTCCCATCCCTCCTTGGTCTCTTATCTACTCTCACTGGGCAACTGTACACTCAGTTTTTAAGTCCTGAGTTTTACAGTGTTTTAGATGTTTTCTTTTAAATTGCTCTGTTCGGTGTTTCTTGGTTCCAGTCTAAAGGTGTGAATGCAGCTCACATAGGCGGATGAGCTTTAGAAGGCTGCAGCTGTAGTTCTTTAAGAAATAATTTCTGAAAGGGCTTTCCAGCATATGCTGAATCTCGTGATGCTGGTAATGAGTTGCTCTCAGTGTTAAAGCTGATTAGTTAAAAAGACAGCTGAGGTATGGTACATATGAGTTACAATCTTGTGCAGAAAGATGCCTTGGTAAAATAGTAGTTTTATCAAGGTTAGGGCAGAGGATTACACTGGTATGACGATTGTATTTCTACATGTTTTTTAATTTAACTTGTCTAGGTCATTGTCTTATCTTTTCTGTGTAATTTTCCATATAAACCCCTTTAATTTAAATCTTCAACAAGTAAATCAAGTTTCTAAAAATAGTTCATGGAAAGGCACACTACATCATCTGGGAAATGTGTATTTTTTATTATTTTTAAGGAACATATTAAATTAGTTTAATTATGAAGCTGATTGTAGAAGAACTTCAACACAAAGAAGACAGTCAACTTATTTTTGCAAAATAAGAGTGCTGCTGATTATCCTTGTATTTCTAATTGATTTTTTAATGTTTTCCAGAGTGCAAATTCAATAAGAAAACTAGTGAGTACTTTTTTATTTTACTAATTATAAAATACATTAATAGTACATATATTGAAAAAATTCCCTATAGCATTAGTACAGAATTGGAAAAACAATAGTAACTAAACTTGTTTTTTACTTTTTTTCAAGGATCCCCCTTCAAGCACTTCAGGGCTCTGTTTCAAGAAATTAAATGTGACAACACACACATATAAATTACTTATCAATCGTTTATCAAGAAAGGTAAGTATATATCACCTGTATATATCATGTGTACACTTAAAAGATAGCTAGAGAGCTATTCTGTTGAGAATGCAATAGATCAGATTTATAATGAATGTACCACAGGATTAGGATTACTTTTGCAGTACAGGTTCCCAGTAATGCATGGTATGCTAGAAGCAAAAAATATACATTCCCAATACTATGTTTCACTTACATGTCATTTATCCAAAATGACACTTCAAAGTTCTTTTGAGATTTTAAAGAATCTGCAAAAGGCATTTATACTTGAGACTCCATTTCCAGATAACCTAGAATCAAAGAGAAATGTTCCAAGATGTGATAAATACTTAGGTTGGCTTTCCTGCTAGTCAGTAACAGGTCAGAACAGATAACTTTGAATTATTGGGATGAGGGGGTTTTTGTTTTGTTTTATGATATGATATATGATAAATAAGATTCATTGCTTCCTTATTTAGGAAGGATTTCTATATCATTATATTTCCCCATGCCTACTTCGTTTGCAGTTATAGGAAATGGCAGTGATGGGAAGCTCTGCGATTTAAGCACTGTGATTGTCATTGTATGTGGCAGAGGCTGTAAAAAAAAATCTTTTGCTCTAAGATGTAAAGACATATAAAATACAACTTTGCAATCTCTTTTTATTAATAAAATGTATTGCATTTGTTTTAGGTAGTAGTGGATTCTGTAATTCAATCATTACCATTTTCAAAAGAAGGACTGAGCATTCAGGATACTGGTGCAATGTATGTTGTTAATACCCCAGCTGGTATTAGCATCAAGTGGGCTCACATTACAGGCATCATAGATATAGAGTATGGATTACACTCTAACACATCGATGAAGACAGAAGGACTTTGTGGTGAGACTGTGGCATTTTTTTTTCTTACTTAACAATTTCTCATTTAATATTTACACCTCCCTTTTGTGTCTGTGACCTTTGTCCCTTGTGACCCCCATTAACTACACTGACAATCCTAATTGAGGTGGGCTTGTGAAATTCTGTTAAATAACAATAATTCTGTTTCAAAGCACTGCTTGATAAAGTAATTTTTCGCTCTCAAGAACTAATGATCAGTACATTGTATTTAATTAACTTTAAAAAAAGGTACTCATCTTCTGCCTGTATTTAAGAATATTGTTGAAGTCAAGTAAAGAAAAAGGGAAAATTTTCAATGGAGAAGTGGCTGCTGAAGAAGTTCAGGCAGTGACAGTATATCTCAATGATTATGGGAGAAACTAATAACTGTTGCATGTTAGCAGTGGCAGCTATTGCTATGCAAATACTGATAAAAGGTCTATCTTGGGATGGGTCCCCTGCGGACGGTGAATCCAAATTCAGGCCTCCTAAGGTTGGATTTAGGGTCCAAAACTGTGCCTGAGGTGTCTGTGATGAAGAAAGTTAACTCTGTCTCTGCTTAACCCAGGACATTGTCTCAGCCTTAAATTATGATGTTAGTAAATTTAGCATGTGTTAGGCTTCCCTAATAGCCTTTTTATAACTCTGACAGTATGAATTATATGGAAAAGTGTAAGCAGGGATTTTAGAGTAACTTTAATTCTATCATAAATGTCCATTTTCTGTCACATTGCAATTTTACAGAATCTACCCCATATTGAACAGGAAAATGAACTTTTATAATTTTTTTAACTGCTTTTAGTTTTAAAAGCAAACAAAAGAGAAGATGAATGCTGGCCCTGGCAGGTACTGCATCTTTTCCCAGTATCATGCCATCTTCTCTATGCATGCTGAAAAATATTGGGGTGAGATGAGGTCAAATGTAGGAAGGTTTATAGAATAGTTAACCTTTGTGCCTTGAAAAGATAGAAAGAGGAAGGCTATGCAGACAACTCCAACCTCTGCTGTAAAGTGTTCTCTACCTGATATTTTGCAGTAAAGTCTGAAGCCTCCTTTAGTGCTTCTGTCCTATCCTCTGCTGTTTGTTCCTGTCTGGGATTCTTCTACCTTCTCCCTCTCACACTGAAAAAAATTATGAGACTGTGTGGTAAATTTGCTTTATTTTTAAAGCTGTATTTATTCTGCATTTCTGTAGTATGGCCCTACAAATTCTAACGCAAACACAGTTTGTGGGGAAGCATTGGGACAGAAACAAGAAGCAGAAGTGTTAAGAATGCTGGAACGCAGTGCTACTGCCAAATGCTTCTTATCATTCAGATACCATCTTCTGTGTTTCTCCATGCTGTCTGAGAGAATAACAGATCCTGTCATGCCAGGCTTGCCCAGTTCTAACAAGTGCCCCTGTAGAATATCAGGATGCAGGGCTGGAAGCATGAAGGCGAGGACTTAGGGTGTGGTTGGCAATGCAGAAGTAAAGTGAAAAAAAGGATATAGGAACTTTGGCTGATCAGTCCCCAAGATGGAAAGCGCTATTATGAAGATTAAAATTTTTGCATTAATGACTTGTTATGTGCTTATAGGAAGTTTATGTTTTCATTGATGGGTTAACTGAATGCATACCACAATGCATCCAGGTAGCCAATGAATGCCAGGAGTTTGGGTAGGGCAATTTTTCAGTACTTTTGTATTAATAAATTAAGAAAAATATATTCAGTAGAGAAAGCAACTTGTTCATCAAAAGATTCATAACTTCTTGCATTTAGAATGCTCAATTAAGTTTCAATACAATGTCAGATTGTCAGCAACGGGCAGTTAATTTGAATGCCATCTACATGTACTTCCCTGGCGTTGATTGCTATTCAGTAAAATGAGATCAGAATCCAGTGCCATGTCAGTGAATTTGCTACAATGAACAGGACATTTTGCATTTTTTCTTGAAACCATTTTTCTTGAAACATTTTTTTCTTGAAAGATAATTCATTGTTGGGAAAAGTGTCACTACTTGTTTTGTATGATCTTGTTTTGCTAAGCCATTGAGCTAACAAATAAAATCACAAGTAGAAATCTGGAACTACAGTGGACATATAGCGGCCTTAATGTATAAATTCAGATAACTAAGTCTCACAGGTGAGCCTGATGCAATGTCAATCTTACCTTATCAAGCACTTTTCTTTCCCAAAGGAAGTATTATAGCATGTTTATTTGTGCTTTGACTGTAATGCTCTGCCTCCAGGGGTGTGTAACGGAGATCCTACTGATGACCTGAAAATGCAAAACAGGACCATAATTACAAATATGGAGGAAATCGAGGTGTTCATTAGGAGTTGGGAAGTTGAGAAATCACTTGATGTAACAATCAGGAGGCCAGTAAGAAACTGTACTGAAGATAACTGTACGTACTGTATGGAACTGCTAAACAGAAGCACTTTCATCCCTTGTCACAAGAAAGTGAGTACAAAGATCAGAGAAATTCCAGGTGAAAATTAAATAAAAGATGTATAGTTAAGAAAAGAGTAAGAGAAATGTACACATTTTTAATGTTTTGCTTATTTTCATGAGTTGACAACTGGATGAGTGGCTTTAATACCTCTGTCATATTGGCTGTAACACTTCTGTCATATTGTCCATTGTAAACACACATCTATACAGACCCCTGTGCTATTATGCTGTTTCTTAAATTATTGAATAGGCAAAGCTCAAAGGAGAGACATCAGATCATCATCTCAACATAAACACATTCCAAAAGAGGTTTTTCTAATAAATGCTCAACATGAGTCACTAGAACTGAATTTTCTGGTGCACACAACAGGAACTCATGCAGTCTGACACTGATTGGACTAAAAAAATTTCCATTTAAGCAAATTTTGACATAGTCACTATTACGTTGACAATTTGCTAAGATTTCTTACAGAATTCATTATCATTTGTTTCTGGACGCTGCACTTGCTAACCGGGATATAGCTGTAGCATGCAGATTACCACTACAGGTAGGTAGTGCAGCGCAGCTGCATCCTGGAACGGGAAATTAGGAAGGCCCAAGTGTCTGAGGTCTTACATACTTTCCCCACTAAATTCAAAATAAAAAGGATTATTCAAGTGTCCTTTTCTTTCTCAGAGACAGATGTGTCCAGATTCCTGTTTCACTTCTTGCTGTTCTGCCTTTCCACCCTTGGTTTGCATTGTGTTACTCTGCAGTTTTCATCAAAGACAAATGCTGTTAAATGTATTGTAGGCAGCTGAGCCCCTTCCTTCAAACTCCCAAGACCTTGCCTCACTTTCCCCAGGTACCAAAAAAATGGACAGAGTTCTTCTGAAAGGAAGGAGTTAAAGAGTTGTGTTTTGTTTTGGTTTGGTTTTTTTTGTTAATTTTTTTTTTTTAATATTAATAGATATTTGCCTGGGCAAAACCTATCACATCGCCACAGAGAGTTAATGAGAGGGTGCAGTGGTAAGCAGTTTGGAATGAAGAAGGGAGAGTAGCACCAGTGGGCAGCAGAATGCTTTTAATAATTGTTTAACATGTCTCATTTTAAAATAATTAAAGGGAATCTGAGTAGTCTGAATTCCTTTTTCATAGATGTTTCCAGAAGAACTCTCATAGCCTCAGATACGACGCAATTGCATTTTCCTGGTGTACAGCAAAACCTGACATAGCATCAAAGTTGCCAAGCACTTGGTTCATCCCTTATGAAATTTGTTTTCTTTCATTTACATGATGGTGGCAAAGCCACAGTGGAGGGAGCGTACTGTGCACCTCACAGGCGTGAAGCAACTGGACAAGGATAGGTAACAAAGTCATCAGAGTAATGAACTTTATGGCAGAAGTGACTGACTGCTTGAAGGTTTCCTGAAACCACAGGGAAAGCTGGGCTGCAGCATAGTAGTGAGCAGGGAGAATAAAACAAATTCTGACCTTTTCCACCTTGTTATAAGCTTATGCAAATAAAACCAACAGAAATAAGATAGGTTGGACTACCTGCATTTAGACTGCGTAACATAGGCTATCGGGTCCTATAGACACAGAAACAGAGCATTGAGTAATAATTT